GTCAGCCGGGCGGCGCCGCGGAGTCTCCTGGGGAGGGTCTGGTCCAGCTGCCGAGCAGGTGAGCAGCCGCGGGGAGCCCCTCCCTAAGCCTCACCCTCACCCCACCCCTAGAGGGACGGGGCGCTGGGCGCAGGGGGTACCCTGGGGGACCGTCAGAGGGAGCGGGAGGGCTGGAGCCTGAGCAGGAGACAGGTGTGGAGACAAAGAGCCGCGGAGAGGAAGGAGCGGGCGGGAGCGGGCACCGAGACAGAGCAGGCAATCGGCAAAGGGCAGGGGCGGCGCGGCCCCGACGGGTCCGGGCAGAAGCAGGGGGTCCACAGGGAGGGGCGGAGGCCGCGGCGGTCACGAGCGCAGGTGTGAAGACCGTGCCCGGGACGCGCGGGGGAGACGAGCAGGCCGAGAAGGACGTGGGAGCCGGCAGAAGCAGCAGCCCCCCCACACCCCCACACTCCCCGGAAGAGTGGGAGAGGCAGAGAGACTGAGTCTCCGCCTCCAGGGCCAGATGTGGAGGAGGGGCCAGCTGTGGGCGCCGGACCCACGGGCGCGGCCGTCCCTCCCCACCTTCGCTCGTCCCGGGGTCTGGGTCTGGGGTCCCAGGCCCAACAGAGAGAGGAGCCGGTCGGCCCCCGGGGGCACTCGGCTTCAGTGCGTAAGCCCTGCCCGTTGTCGTGGCAACAGGCCGTTGCTGGGGCAACCAGAGTGGTTCCCACGGGGACCTAGCAGAGCCGGGCGTTGCTCCGGGCAACTGGGTGCGCTGGTTCCCACGCTCGCCTTCGCCCACTTCCGATTCAGGTCCCGGAGAGGCGCCAGGAAGGGGCAAAAGTTAGCGGGGTCCCTGCGGGGACCCGGGACCAATGGAGCGTCCCTTTGGGATGCAACTAGGTCCAGGAACGCACCCCTAGCGCGCTCCCTCCGATGCGGAGAGGCTGAAACTACAACTCCCAACATGCCTCGCGGCGGGTGGCTGATTCCCGTGCGGCTGGTCGCCCAGAGCGCCGATGGGAGTTGTAGTTCTTTGTTGTTGGGAGGACTCAATGATTGCATGGGGTGGGCGTCGGGAACTGGGACGCTTGGGTGCCTTCTCAGAAAGGACCTTAGGATCCCACAGCCATGTTCCCGGAGCCCCCAACCCTGGGACCTCCAGCGACCGATGCGCCTCCGGACTCCAGTCGCATCAGCCACCGCCCAGGTGAGCTAGACCCGGGGCTGGAGCGGAGGGAAAGCCCGGCCAGGATCAACTGGGGCAGGATTCGGACGGGTGGACTCGGCTGGCGGGCTGGAAAATCCGGGTGGGGTCGTAGTAGGAATTCTGGACTGGCATCTAAATGAAATTCTGGACTGGAATCTAAATTAAATGGGAAGAGAACAGGTTTGCTAAAACACACACACACACACACACACCCCAAGAATCAGACCAAGGGGTGTGGGATGGAATGGGCTCTTGGATTGGTGAATTAGGGGGTCCATCTGTCCCTTCTTTTAAAGATAGGGAAACAGGCCTGGGGAGGGGTTCAGGCTTCTAAGAGCATCAGAAGTTGAGCAGAAAAATTCGAATGGGGGTGTAAATGATAGGCGAAAAAATCAGATGGTGTCAGGCTCGGTTAGGGCATCAAATCGCTTTACAGGTGAGATCAGTTGGAAGGAAAACGCGGGAATAAAACGGAATGGAAACGGCTGGAGAGAAAACCAGGCCAGGATTCCAGCCTCCACATGTCACCCGGACTGAACCAGCGGGCTGGCTTCCTAGGGCCTCAGTGTCTGTTGTGTCCATGTCCTCCGCAGTGCCCCCCTGGGCCCTGGCCACAATCGTGCTGGTCTCAGGCCTCCTGGTCTTCAGCTGCTGTTTTTGTCTGTACCGGAAGCGTTGTCGGAGGCGGATGGGCAAGAAGATCCAGGCCCAAGCCCAGGTCCACTTTCAGGAAGTGAAGGAGCTGGGCCGGAGTTACATAGACAAGGTGTGGCCTGGCCCAGCCCTCTTCTCTGCCCCTTCCTGCACCCCTGCTCCTCTCCATGGACCCGCAGCGTCAGTCCCTGCTCCCTTCCCTCTATGCCCACCTATTCGTCTACCTCCACCATGTGTCTAGCCCAAAACTGACTCTGGGGACCTGAAGATGGACCAGGCTTAGTCACTGTTCACAAGAACCTTCCAGTTTGGTGGGGGAGTCAGACACATGTTCACAGTGCAAGGTGGTATGTGCCCCATCAGAGGCAGTGCTGGGCATACGGGAGCACAGAGGAAACACCTGGCAACCTAGAAGGTCTTAGCAGGCTTCCCAGCAGAGGAGACTTCTGTGCTGAGACCCAGGGGGCACACAGAGTTAACAGAGTGGAGGGAAGGGCATTTTAGCTCAAAGGAGAGCATATGCTGGGGCCTGGAATCCAGGTTGTCAGGTGTATTTGGGGAACAATGAGTCATTTTCACAATGGGTGGGGAATCTACTGTGCTGGAGAGTGAGGTTGCTGGAGAGCCAGCAGTGGCCACATAATGAGGGTGACTGGGAGCCATGGAAGCTTTGAGCAGGACAGGGACAGGGTCAGATGGGTGTTAGGATGAATCCCCTGGAACCCACATGAGGACAGACCTGGGGCAAGGAGACCAGGCAGGAAGTCATATGGCAGCCTTGAGACGGTGAAGGAGCCTTGAGCTATAAGAAGCTATTGGAGTGGAAAACAAAAGGTTACAGGTGCAAGGACTTGAGCATTAGGTCTCTGAATGCAGAGTGCAATGAGGCTCACCTGGGAGGCAGAGGGCCCTGGGTTTCCAACCAGCTGTGTGGCCTTGGGAAGTTCACAGTCCCTCTCTGAGCCTCAAGTTCATGGTCCATAAATCATATTTCCCCTCTTCCTTTCTCAACAAGTAGCTTTTATCATTCTGGTATCCAGTTTCTATCCCTACCCCTTAAGCCAATGACTTCCAAAGGCCATTACATCAGAATCGCCTCTGGTGCTCATTGAAAAGCAAATTCCAGATCTTGCACCAAACCCGCTGCTGAGTCAGAATCTCTGAAGTGAAGGCATTCAGCCACACTAGTCAGGGGAATTCCGATTCACGTTGAATTTTTTAAATTGGTGGCTTAGGTTAAGGAGAAGTCTTCTGATTTTGCTGTTCTAGTTTAGAATGGCAAATACATAGTAAGTGTGCCATTTTGCCTTGTCAAAAGAATGCGGCAATTTGCACAACCCCAATACTTCCATTAGCATGTGAAATAAAATCCCCTGCCTCCTTCCTGAAGGCAGTGAGACACTATTACGCTTGTTTTTCTAGGCTACCATGGGTGCCTGTTTCACCACTGCCTAGCCCCAACCATAGCAGACATCACTAATCAAACACTGAAAACACTACACCATGTGTTGCTTCATTCGCTGCCTGTGGCAGACATCACTAATCGCACACTGACTCTGCTTAGCCAGCAAGTGCTCAGGTATAACCTAGAGATGTGTGAGTCTCCCCTGGCTTCTGGGACTGGAGGATGACACTCTCAGGAGAAGAGTTCACCGGCCCTTGCCCCTGGCTCCCTAAGGTGCAGCCGGAAGTGGAAGAGCTGGAGCCGGCACTATCCGGGCCAGGGCAGCAGGTCACAGAGAAGCACGAGCTGGGACGCCTGCAGTACTCACTGGACTATGATTTCCAGAGTGGCCAGGTGGGTGTGGATGAGGGGGAGGCCTTGCAGGGGAGGGCCCCAGCAGGGTCCAGAGGGAAGCTAAGGCTAGAGGTCCCTCCTCACTGTACAGCTGCTGGTAGGCATCCTGCAAGCCGAGGGCTTGGCAGCCTTGGACCTGGGTGGCTCTTCGGACCCCTATGTGCGAGTTTACCTGCTGCCAGACAAGCGGAGGCGGCATGAGACTAAGGTGCATCGGCAGACGCTGAACCCACACTTTGGGGAGACCTTTGCCTTCAAGGTGAGCACCTGCCCCCAGTCCCTGGAACACTGGGGGCTGACCCCTTCCGCTTTTTCTGCAGGCAGCCTCAGCTACTAGCTCTGGGTTGTCCCTTTGGGACACTGCTGACCCTGGGGCTGTTCCCTTGGATCTGGGTTGTACCACTTGGGTTCCACGGACCCCACCTGAGTCCCTCGCTGCCCCACTCTGGCCTTCCACCCTGCTGTGCTGTGCCCGCTTCCTTCCTGACTCCCTCCCCTCCACCTTGCGCTCCCTCCGCGCTCCCCCACCCAGGTCCCCTACGTGGAGCTGGGAGGCCGGGTACTGGTCTTGGCGGTGTACGACTTCGACCGCTTCTCCCGCAACGACGCCATCGGGGAGGTGCGGGTCCCCATGAGCTCCGTGGACTTGGGGAGGCCGGTGCTGGCCTGGCGGGAGCTGCAGGCGGCTCCGCGGGAGGAGGTGAGCGCCCTGGCCACGCCCACCCCGAGCCCGGGCCAATCAGATCACAGGCCCCGCCCCGCGGGCGCCAGGCTTCGCACCTGCTGCGCTCGGATGGCGCCGCCTAGGGGCCTCCTGGGGTTAACTCCGGACCCTTCGTCCCAAAGCAGGGGGCGGGCGCGGCCGCGGAGGGCGCGCGTGCGGTGCGGCGCTGGGACGGGTCCCTCCCCGTCTTTTAGCAGGAGAAACTAGGGGACATCTGCTTCTCCCTCCGCTATGTCCCCACCGCCGGGAAGCTCACCGTCATCGTGCTGGAGGCTAAACACCTGAAGAAGATGGACGTGGGAGGGCTGTCAGGTGTGCGCGAAGCTGGAAGTGGGGGTGTGGTGCGGGAGGGGCCCTCTGGCCAAGGTTGGCAGTGTCCGGCCCGAGGGTCTTCTGGGGGCGGGGGAGGCCCAGGCTGCCATGGGAGGATATAGGTTTGATTTGGGCAGAGAGAGAGGAGACCTGAGGGGTGCCCGGGGAATCTCTATGTTGTTCCAGAGAAATCTTGTGCGCCCCCCTCAATCCGATCCCCCCACTAAGCAGGGCGAGAGCTCTGAGACTCCTCCCCCCTCTCCCAGACCCCTACGTCAAGGTTCACCTGCTGCAGGGCGGCAAGAAGGTGCGGAAAAAAAAAACAACCATCAAGAAGAACACGCTGAACCCCTATTACAACGAGGCCTTCAGCTTCGAGGTGCCCTGTGACCAGGTCCAGGTGAGCTAGGCCTGCCTCAGCCCCTTAGAAACGCTGCTGGCCCAGGGAGGGAGACTCTTTAGCTACCTCCAGGGACCAGGGCCTGGGGGTGTCTCAGGTTGTGCTCCCAGTTTCCTTCCAGGAGAAGCAGGTGACGCCACCCCACAGGCAAGACCGGGACGCCCCGCCCCTCGGGAACCCTGGCTACAAAGAAAAAGAGCCTGCCCACAGCCCTTTAGGGTCAGGTGCCTCCACTCATTTAAAAGTCCTGGAGGTTTGCCCCGCACCCTTAGGTGGCAGCTCCCTAAGGAGGCTCCTAACAACCCTTAGCCACTGGATCCTGAGGGCTTCTCACCTGTGGAATCTGATCGCACTGGGAGAAAGACTGAGGAGCCCCTCTAACCTCTCCCCCCTCACCCCCCCCACCCGAGCTCCAGGTGGGTTTTAACCCCGGGCCCTAACAAGGCCCCCAGGACTCTTCAAGGGGAGCTCCCCTTAGCAGTGCTACCTGAGTCCCTCCCGGTGCCTCTGTCCCCCACTCTCCTGTCACCTCTTCCTCTTGTGCCCACCCCAGAAGGTCCAGGTGGAGCTGACTGTGCTGGACTATGACAAGCTGGGCAAGAACGAAGCCATCGGGAGGGTGGCGGTAGGGGCAGCGGTCGGCGGGGCGGGCCTGCGGCACTGGGCAGACATGCTGGCCAACCCTCGGCGGCCCATCGCCCAGTGGCACTCACTGCGGCCCCCTGACCGAGCGAGGCCACTGCCTGTGCCCTGACCCCCTCAAAGCCCCTGACCCCAGACGCCTGGCCAAAGCTCTGCCCAGGCCCACCTTTAAGCCTCTCTGAGCACTAA